CTCCTGTGGCCTGGCCCCTGGGAGTCTCCCACGGGAGCCTGCTTTCCAGGCAGGACTCCTGCACAGCGTGGGGCCCATGGCTGGCCTCCTCTGTGTGCCCGCCAGCCCCTCTCCCCGGGGCCTGCAGGGTGCCTCCTCCTCCTCGGGGAGCTTACTCTGAGTCGGCTGTGTCTAGTGCCCTGGGGCTTGGCACGTGCTCGCCTGGAGGTGTCTCAAGGAGATGGGGCAGGAGCCTCCTGTGCTTGGCTCCGGCGCTTGTTTACGGCTCCAGTCCCCACCCTGCACAGCTCCCCTCGGACCGGCTGCCCGCCCATGTCCAGCCAGGTGTGGGGTGATGGAGCGGGGCTCCCTGAGGACAAGGAGCACAGTGTCTGCTTTATTTGCAGCTCGGCGCTGACAAGGAACAGAATACCCACAGTGACTGCTTCCAGGAAATGGCTGCGGGGCGGGTGGGAGCCTCGGGAGCAGCCCCTTCCCAGCAAGCCGGCCTGCAGGTGGGCTTCCAGGAAGGGGCCCCCACAGGCGCCCCTCAGCCTGGAAAGGGGCCAACAGTGTCACCAGGAGCAGGCTGGGGGCTGGAGGAGGGGTGTGGAGGGAAGGGGAGAGCAGAGGGGTGGGAAGAAGAGAGTGGGTATGCCTGGGCTGAGCCGGAGTGGTTCCTGCAGCCCCAGGGGAGACCAAACCTGACCACAGTTCTTTCTGGAGCTGTCTATTCCCCATTTTAGGGGGTTAGATAGTCTTAAGAAGGCTCCAGGGGGCCGGGGAGATGGCTCAGTGGAATAAGGGCTTCCCTGGCCAGGGCAAGGGCCTGAGTTCAATCCCTGATTATGCCAAAAAAAAAAAAAAAAAAAAAAGAAGAAGGCTCCAAGCTCTTGAGGTTTTGCCTGGCATCATATAAACATACACACTACATACACACACACACACACACACACACACACACACACTCCCCCATGACTGTAAGGGGACAGTTCTCTGAACTCAAGTTCAGGTCTGGCTGGTGGTGAGCCCTTCAGACCCCCTTGCTGGAGGGGACTGCAAAGGCCTCCAGATTGGATCCACTGACCCTTGGTGCTGAGAGTTCAGCCGCTCCTCTACCTCTGGAGAGGAGGCCGTTTGTCTTCATGAAGCTTGTGGGGGAGAGGAGGCCTTTCTCTCTGGGTTCCACCTTGTACATTTTAAGACTTCTCAGTCAGTCTGTCCCGCAAAGTCCCTGTAACCCCATTTAAGGGATTTTATTTCCTTTGTAATGTTGGCCTCTCTTGTCCTCCCTTAGTGGTAGAGCGCATATCCTGACCTTGCCTCGCCCCAGCGGTCCATAATGCCTGACTGAACACTTGCTCTTGGGTCATTAAATTCATGCTAAGACACGAAACCACACAAAGGCACAAGGCACACACAGCAGGTTTGGAGTCCACCCTCAGGGAACACTGCCCCACGGGAGGGGGGGGGAGGTGGTACATGACCACACACGTGCCCACAGAGCATCTCCAACAGACAAGGGGCCACACCTTTGGCCTGGCCTCAGCTCCAGCAGCCACAGCCATCTGGGCAGCACACAGCGAACTGTGGAGATCCTCACAGACACAGATGGATGTGCAGAACACATGTCCAGGGACAAGAAGACAGGAAAGGCCATGTGACCTGTGAACATATACACTGGCCATGTTGAACATATGAAGCACACATGAGGCACATGACACACAAGTCCAAGAGGACATGAACTACCAGCTTGGTCACACCCTATGCAGCAAGTCCTCTCTTCTCTAACAGGACAGTGGGGCCTTTGTTCAAACTAAACTCACACAGAAACATGGGCAAGGAGGGGTTCAGGTGTGTAGATCCCTAACAAGGTAAAGGATGTGGCCGGAGTCCCTGCCATTGTCTAGGGTCCCACTTGAGATTTGAAACCCCTTTTTCCAGGTTTTCAGGCACCGTGGCAGCTGGCCCCTCCCCATCCCACCCTGGGCTGGGATGAAATTCAAGCCCCTGTTTGCTTCTCAACACTTAACTCAGCAATAGGGGTGAAAGTGCCTTTGGGTGGTGGGGGCTTGGAGCCTGTCTAACAACCCTCCCTAAGCCCCTTTTCTAAAAAGCAGGAAATCGGGTTGGGCCAAAGGTAAACACATTCCAATCTGGCGGTCCTGGGCTCAGATGGAGGGGCTTTGTGTGTGTGTGTGTGTGTGTGTGTGTGTGTGTGTGTGTGTGGTGGGGGGAAGGCTCTGGTTTCTCCCAGCTCATGCTACCCCAGGCAAGGCTGGGACTGAGGACCTGGCACACACCTGTTTGCAGAACACTGATGCCTCGGCCTGTGGCTTCATGCCCTGGCCTGCCTGCACCCCAAGATGCTGCCCCTACACGCTTCTTCCCCTCCTCCCAAAGCTCTGCAAGACCCAAAGGCCCCTAGGACACAGCTCCAAGAACAGCCTCAGGAGCCCACTGCAAAAGCAGAGTCAACATGAGTAGGCCCAGGGTCCGGCCCTGCTCCGGTGCGGAAGGTGTAGACATCCACAGACAGGGATGAGGGCAATGAGAGCTGCTAGGTGCCTCAGTCTCTCCTAGCTGGGTAGGAAAAGGAGCGATTCCGCACTAACCGCCCTTGAAGCACTCACATCCCCAAATTTATCTCAGAATGCCTCAGGAGGAATGCCTAGCAAGCACTGTGATTCACAGCCACCGCTAAGGGTGCTGAAGCCCAGGTCCATGTCAAGTCGAGTGTGCTAGGCTCTGCAGGTGCTCAGGAAGATACGATCATGGGGAGCTACTCCGGGGCTTCTTCTCCAGCCTCTTCCTGTTTTGGGATTCAGTATCTATCTCCAGACAAGGTTCCTGGGTTCATCTCACTCCCTCTTCTCACTGTACAGTGGGCTGGAAGCTTTAACCCCACTGTCCTCAACAGCCCTGGGCCCATGGCACTTCTGGCTTACACAGAAGAAGGCAGCTTTTATCTTCTAAGTGTGGCTTTGTAAATCTTGAGTAAAGCCTTTTGTGGGTGCCTTCCTGACATGTAATGGTGCAAGTTGTTGCCCGTGGGATTGGGAGGGTAAAGGTGGTTTCCCTTCTTCATGGGGTGGCCAGCTTTTGAAATTCCCTGTGCCCAGTGGGGTACTGACTTCCTGTCTTAGCCCCACAAATCTGTTTTGGAACTCCTGTCCCAGGAAATGCAAAGTTATCATGAGTGGACAGGGGGCAGGAGAAGGGACAGAGGGGAAAACAAATATATAAGGAATGTGGAGTTAGCCTGGGTTGGAGATTCTGGGGGAAATAAGAACTGGATACTCTTGTAAGTATAGGGTACAGGGTGTGCCTAAGAGCTGCTTTGCATATCTGTTCATTTTATTTTATTTTATTTGTCTTATTTCAGTTCGGGCTGGCCTTGTACTCACTATGTAGTCCAGACTGACCTTGAACTCATGGCAATCCTCTTGCCTCAGTTTCCCAAGTGCTGGGATTACAGATGTGTGCCTCCATACCCTGCTTCTTTTCCAGAGTCTGCATAGCTGAGGGCCTGGGAGCTAGAATCCTTGATGGGGGTTCAAAGGACAAGGGTGTCCTTGAGTGCCAGTCTAGGATTCCAGCTTCCAGGGTCCCAGGATGGTGACTGTCTCCCTTGAGGATGCTAACTATGAAACACAGGAGCTGTACTTGTACCCCAGGAGCAAGACCCAGTAAGGGGTTCTACTGCCCCAGACCCCTCACCTTCCCCCCTCATCACCTGCTTGACTTCTCCAACTCCCTCACCTCCTTTGGAATCCTGCTGCACCCCTGTCCTCTCTACAGTACCCCTCTGACCTGTTTGCATCTCGGTTCCTTTGTTGGGCCCTCCCCCAGATCCCACTCCCAGCAGCAGGTTGAGGGAGCAGGGGACAGCATGTGTGTCTGCTCAGGCTCTAGCCCAAGTTAAGGGGAGAGGCTGGGGGGCAGGGCAGGAGGACCACCTCTGGGTTGGGGGTAGGGCGGAACCCAGAGGCCACTCTGTTCTCTGCTATGTGGCCACGGCCCACATGGCCCACCCTGCCCCAAGGGCATTTGACCACCCCCATGAACCTTGCACTTCCTGCCTGGGAACTCATGTGGCAGCGCAGAGGCACTTGATTGGCACCTGACCCGTCTCATAGCCTAGGATGCCACTTCTTATGCCAGCGAGCCACCTATAGGGTGCCCTGATCCTACAGTTCCCATATTTCTATGTGGAATCCACAGCCCCCCACCCCGCCTTGATGTCTATATCTCTCATAGTCCCCCATGCCCAAAGGCATCCTGTGACCATGTTTGCACCATAACCCCATAATCCCTTCCCCTGTGTAGTTCACCCCATATTTAGGCCCACCCTGTTTCATGTCCCTCCCCCACCCCATTGCCCCTTCCCTTCCCGCAGGCCCCTCTTCATATCCTCCCTCCCCTCCAGCATTCTCCCTTCCCCCCAGCCTGTGGTACCGCCCCCTCCCCTCCCCCCCACCCCCCCAGCACAAATTTCAGGTCTGAGACAAAGTACTGTAACTGTATTTATTATGGATCCAGAGCTTCTGGTGAAGCCCTGGTGGGGAGGGGCACAAGGCAAGTTGTGTTACAGAATGCTTAGGTGGCTCCGTTGGTGTGGAGCTTCCAGACTAGGTGAGGGGAAGGCGAGACCTCACTCACACAGCCTGCACTCAGTGGCCCGCAGAGGTGGATGAACAGGCGGGCATTGAGGCAGTGTAGCCAAAGAGGAACACACACACACACACACACACACACACACACACACACACACGGAGAGACTCAAGGCTGTCTCCACAACTCCAGCCAGTGCAAACGACTTAGTGCAAATTGAACTGAGTTCAAAAGGGGACAAGAGGGGAAACGGAGTAGTGGACGCTTTGAATCTCTCAAGAAATGGAAAGAAGAAAGATGAGAGAGGAATTGAGAACAGAAAGGCTGAAGAAGAACAGGGGAGGGAGGTGATGATGATGGTTCTGTCCCCCGGAAGAGGCTTGGCTCCAGGATGACGTATGGGTGGTGGTCTCCCGAATGCAGCAGGGGCTGGCCATGAAGATGGAGTTGCCGGGGTGGGGAGTGCTGCGGGTCTGCTCTTCCATGGTGTTCCTGAGGCCTGCTCCTTTAGCTCTACCTGCAGAGAGATTTAGTGACACATGAGTAGGGGGCGGGGCGACAGGATAGGGTGGGGCAGATCCTCCGGAAATGGCCAGCCTCACCTTCCAGAGCCAATTCCTGAGGTGTGCGGAGAAGTGGTTCTGGATGCAGCATATTTTTGATCCAGAGCTAGATGGACTTAAAGAAGTCCCCAATTCCAAGTCCCAGGCATGAGCTGGGTAGCACCATCTCTGCAGGTAGGAAGAGAGTGAGTCCTGGCCCCTGGCCCCGCCCCTGTCTTCCTACTCACCTGTGGCAAGAAACACCTCACCTTTCATTTTGAGGATTCTAGGAGGTCCAGAGAGCAGCAGTGGTAGCTCTTTTGGAAAAGCAAAGGAACAGACCTCGTGGAAGTGTCTCCGCGTCGCCAGCCCAGAATGTTCTGCAGAGGACAGAGTGGCGTGACTTGGAAGATGGCCAGATGGCTGAGATTGGCAGTGGGCAGATCACACACTTACCAGGAAGGCCAGACAGCAGTCCCTCTGGCCTCACCATCACACCGGACCATATCACTCCTTCTCAGCGTACTTGTATCTCCTGCATTCTGGCCTTCAGGCTGGCAGGCACATCCGCCCTTCTGGAGATTTGGCTACAGGAACAACAGAGAGGGCACTGATTGGGCGGGCAAGACTGGGTAAGGGGTGGGGTGACTGGCACGCTCGATACTCACCCTGGTCTCCAGTCCGAGTGCAGAGGCACCGATCAATGCTCCGTCATCACCTGCAAGGCCCACCGTGGCCACAGGCTCTGGAGGCCAGTGTCTCGCTGGCTCGCCGCCGGCTGTTGAGCCTCACCCTGTCTGCACCCAACCTCCCTCCTGAGAACACTCACTCACTCCGCCTCGCCTGCCTCGCCTAGTCTGGCCTTGCCTTGTGCCCTTGACTCCCCTGGTGCTGTTCTGTCTGTCATGCCAGACCCAGGGGCTGAGCGGTTAGGGCATACAGTGTCACCAAGACCACTGTGGGCCCTCTCCGCGTCAGCTCCTGGGCCGCAGTGCTGCGTGGGAACTGTGAATCCACAGGCTGGGCTCACCACAGCCTTCTTGCTGCGAAATCTCTCCGGAACCCGGCACCTGTGGCCACTGCTCCTCCCCGATGGCGTCCTTCTGCACTGCCCTTCTTTCCCGCTCTCCGGCCATCAAGGCTCTGGTACAGGCCTTGGAAGGCCCTCCCAGAGCCGCTCCTATACCTGCTTCTAAGTGAATTACAGTGGGTGGGATGTGGTGGTGGCTGGGGACCCCTCTGTGTCCTGTGACCCCGCCGTGATGTCTGCCTGGGCCTAGAATGCTCCCACACGTGCTGGATCCCTGTGGCCTCCACTACTGTCCCCACAGTCACCGAAGACAGCAGCTTTGGCCCTGCTGGCATCCTTGTATTTGTCCCATTCTGCTCTCTTGATTTGCTCTTTCCCCCGGGGAAAGGCCTATGACCCCCCCCAGCTTTGCTTCGTCTCGGCTCCCCCCGAGAAGATGTCACCTTTGCTTACTATCCTGCCTTCATCCTGCTGCTCTGCAGGAGGCGTGCCACTTCTCCTCGCTAGCCCTCGCTCCCTAAACCTCCTTCCAGAAGCCAGTGAAGCGAGGTCCAGGAAGGTGAAGCGGACTCACCTGCCCAGCAGACGCAGCCCTCACCTGCCCACTGCTGCCAGCTACTCCTCCACCCAGGCCTGGGGGTCGAACCCTGACCAGCAGCTTTCCCTTGTCCGACCAGCCACCACGTCCTGTAACCAAAATTAACCGGGATGAATGTCTGGCTCCTTCTTCCTTTAACCCTAACTCGGGCTGGCAGTCCCACCCGCCGATGTCACCCGTCTCTGAGATGCCTGGGAGCTCCCTCTATACTCTTTCTGGCTCCCAGACCCGAACAACCTGCCCGAGCTAGCCCCTCCACCTTCACCACTCTCGCCAGACTCCAGACGGCCGAGGTGCTCCTCGGCCCCTACTCCTCTCCTCCTGCACCCCCATCTTCCCCAGTTTCCCCCGTCCCCCCCCACCCTTCCCACCCCCCTCCCTCGCCCTGCTCTCGGGCCCCTAGCCCGGGCTTTTTCTAACTGGAGTGTCCCCGCCCAGAATTTCCTCCCCTGTCCTGCCAGCCAATCAGATCAGGCCATGCCGGGGCCCCTGCAGGGCCCACCTCCGCCCTGAACTGATCGGGCGCACGTTCCTCTCACCCCGCACCCATCCCGGAATTCTCCAAAGACGGCATCCCCACACCCTTTCTCTGGCATCCTTTAGACAGCTCCTGGCACTGTCCCTAAACATGCCCCTCTGGGTTGAGAACATCTGTCCTCTAAGACCATTGGCTTCCCTCTTGAAGCAGTGTATGCCCAGCATCCTTCCACGCTGTGCCTGGCACACACTCTGCTGTGGCTGGAAGACCCCGGGCACGCACCCTGCGAGTACTGGAAGTTCCCAGGCACACACTCTCCCACTGTTCGGGGTCCCTCCGCAACAAACTGTCTTGGCTGGGGGGCTCTGGGAGCTTGCTCCGCGGTGGCCAAAGGTCCCTTGTGTTTGACAGCCACTTTATGTCACTACTGGCCAGCACCTCACAGTCTCTCTAGGGTTGCTCAGGAGTTGACAGCAGGAAAAAGTCCCAGGAGCAACCATGCGGTGAGAATGGGAGTGCTCAGAGCTCAGGCTTGGCTGCACGCTGTGCCAGTGTTGTGTCGGTGTTGTGCCAGTGTGCCGGGGTAATGGGGTAGGCGACCGCGGCTGGTAGCTGCTGCCTTGCAGCCTAAGCTCTATCTGGTTGATGGAGCTTGTTCTGGCCACAGCAGCTCCCATGGCACGGCATGCTGGGGCACTTGACGATCTCCTCACCATCCCCCTCCCAGAGTCTGGATAGGCAGGCTGCTTGCTCCATGGCTTGCCTGTAATCTCTGGCAACAAGCCACCCGGCAACCTCACAGCTCTGCCCCGCTGTCTGTGCAGAGAACCAAGACTCGGTAATGGAATGAAAATTACCACCATCCTGGCCCTCCTGCCCCTCTTATTCTCTGGAGAAGAGGTGTTGCAGCTCTGTGGTCTACAGAGCTTTCCCAGCAAGAGCGTTAGAGTTATGAAGGTGGTAGTTCAAGATGGGCATGGCCAAGATCCATTGCCAAGGAGCCGAGAGAACTATAAGCCCTGTTCACGCAGTCGGGTCTCAAGTGTGTATAGCATGTGCAATGACTTAGGGAAGATCCTTGGTCCCAAAGCTCTCGCCATAAAGTGCTGGTTGGTGGCTAAGCGCTACTCAGATTTCATCATGGGTAACCCCACTTTTACTGTATGAAAACCCCAGATATCACCATCAGTGGACCCCAAGTTACAACAGAGATAGATCTCCCACATCTGTCATAAAAGGACCCCAGGCTCTGGTTCATTAGTACTGGGATGTGTGAGTCTGCCCTGCCGCCTTGCGGCTACTTTAGAATCCACATTCTCAAGTGGCAACTTTACCAATAGGCAAGCTTGCCGAAACCGGTAACCAAGACAGGAAAAAAAAAAAAAAAAAAAAAAAAAAAGACTCCAGAAACACTTTTATGCTAGACACAGCAGCTTGGGCTTTTCTGCTGTGGGAAGGGTCTTCCTCTGAAGCCAAGCGCTCCATTATCCAAGGCATGGGAACAGCCCAATGTCTTCCAGTACCTACTTTCGTTTACCTCAATATCGACAGCATGGCTTTGTGCACACCAGTGGGGCAGTTTCTTGGGTGCCTCACAACGCATCCTACCTACCAGTGGCCTTTGTGAACCACGGTGGCATCATGGGTGACCCAGTCAAGGACCGTGGGTGAATCCTGGTTTCGGCGCGTCACTTTGGGCTGTGATATATAAGGCTGGACTGCCATCTCGCGGTGACTTCTGTCTCCCACCGGTAACTGATTCGGTGTCCTCTAGAGAATAAGTGCTCGCTAGTTTGGGGGCTCAAGACTGAAAAGGACAACTCTAGAAATGTACAATCTTCCTGTCTCTTGATGAGTCTGGCTAACTATCATACGGCCGCTGTATCATCGGTAACATGGTACATTACCGCGGGTGAACCCCGGCTTTGCAACTGTCACCGTGGGCTGTGATGTATAAGGCTGGACTGCCATCTCGCGGTGACTTCGGTCTTTACTGACAACCAATTCTGTGCCATCGGCAAAGTGAGAAGCCCTCACCAGTTTTGGGGCTCAAGACTGAAGGGGACAACTGTAGAAATGAACAAACATTCTATCCCAATGACTCAGTGAGCCACCGTGACAACATGACACCGGCACCACCGGACCACGGCACCGCGGCACCGCCACCGCGGCACCACAACCATAACACTGCAACACCAGGCACCGGTACCACGGGATCAGGATCGCGGTACCGCGGCACAGGCATCGCAGCACTGGCACTGTGACACCGCGGCACGGGCACCACGGTGCCACAGCACCGCGGCATCGGAACCGTGGTACCATAAGGGAATCAGGTAGTTGCCTCCAGCCAATCTTAGCTCCCACCTTGAATCGACTTCAGCACCAGCCTAAGAATGAGATGTACACCTCGAGAAAAGCACAGGTGGCCTGGACGGTACTTTAGGCTGACTGTGTCACATAGTCTCAGGTCTGGCCTCTACCATACAGACTTATGGCACACACACACACATACACACACACGCTACGCACACCCATGCTGTATGTACTTGCCAGGCATGGAAGACGATGCCCAAGCTCAGGCCATAAGTATAACCCTGTCAATCCTCACTTTTTGATGATTCCCCAGACTTTGAGATGTTTGCAGCATTCACTTTGGTGAAACAAAAGGCCTTTGGCAGTGCACCACACCCAGGGCAGCCCTTCCCAGGTCTTTTGCATCTAAATCACCCAATTAACATCTGAAAACACAAATCAGATGGGAATGTTAATGCCGGGCCTTAGGGCAGAATAGCCCTTATCTTAGAAAGATAAGAGGGTACTTCAACCAAGAGCTTAGCATTTGCAGTGGCCTTTGATGGGATTGGCGCTCTGGTAATAGCGGCACGTGCCACGATCACCGTATCTGGTAAGTGCTTTGAGTTCCATGCTATCTATCCCACGTAAACCATGAAGCTGCAAATGTAGTACTAGCCACGTACCCACAAACTTACACAAATGTTCTACTTCACCCATGACCCTTGTGAACTGCTACGGTACCAAGGGTGACCCGGAGCATTGCCGCGGGCAAACCCCCAGTCACAGCCACTGGCTGCTTTAGGGCTGTGATTTGTAAGAGTGCACTGCCATCTCGCGGTAACGGTAACCTCTGCTCCTGGCCCGCGGCGGACTCCGTGCCATTCTGAGAAAGAGTGTGTCTTGGCTTTAGACTAAAGGAGTGGACTTTAGAAATCCACAAATATCCTCCCCTCTGATGACCCTTGTGAGCCACTATGGCATTAGGGGTAACCGGGGTTGTAGCCAACAGCAGCAAAACCACGTCAACCAGTGGCACTCAGGGCTGCAATACGTGAGTGTGCTGCCCTCTCACGGCGATTTCGGCCTCCCCATTGATAACTGATTCTGCACTGTCCTGGGAATAGATGAACCTGCTAAGGTCATCAGGCAAGTCTGGGAGTAACATTCCAGAGTTGCACCTCCACTGGCCATGGCAGCCACGCAAGATCCATGAGCCAGATGGCGGTGCTGTGAGACATGTTCCTCTGTGGCCTGTTTCATGTCCTGCTGTCTCTCTCATGCTTGTCCACAGGACTCTGGGATTTCCTCCTTCCTTTTCACCTTTGCTTTGCCCTTGTAAATTGGAGGTCATAAGTGGGCATCTCTTTGGCACTTTGAATTCCCAGGGAAGATGGGAATGTTTTGCTTGCGGCTATGCTTCCAACAACATACTTGCATGTCTATAGGACAGAATTGAAGATGACCAACTAAATGGTTTTGCCAGTGAAGGGACTGTACAAGCTCTGCGCAGTGGGCTTTGGGGATCCCTGGGGTCAAGTCTGGTCTGTGCTGGCCACAGTGGCAGTGGGTGACCAGTGCTGTAACCCACATACAGAGAGTTCAATGACATGGCCTAGGACAGCCACACGGGATGGTGGGCAATGGGTGGTAAAGCACGGCTGTAGACTGCTCCTGCTGTGCCCCCTTGGCCAAGAGGGTCTACCCCTCTGGCCATATGTATCTACTCCTCTGGCCATATGGGTCTACCTCCACTGACCATGTAGATCCCCTCTGTCCATGTAGGTGCATATCTCCTGGTCATGCTAGTTCCCTTTCATTGGCCATTCCAGTCTTCCTCTGGTCATCTGAGTTGCCACCTCTGGTCATGCAGGTCCACCTCTGGTCATGCAAGTCTACTTCTTCTGGTAACATAAGTCTACCTCTTTGGGTCATGTGGTTGACCTATCTGACCAAGTAGGTCCTCAGGTTGTGCTAGTCCTCATCCTCTGCATCTCCTTTGGCCATGCAAGTCTACTTTCATTAGCCCTGCAGGTTGAACACCATAGTCATGCAAGTCTGCCTGCACTGGTCATATGGGCTGGTTTTCCTGGCCATTCCAGTCTTCTTCTCTGGTCACATGGACCTTCCTTCTCTGGTTATGTACGTCCACTTCCTCTGGCCTGTTTTCTGGGCACATAAGTCCTTTTTCTTTGGATACACAGGTTCATCTCCCCTGGATGTGTAGGTCTACTCCTTGGCCATGTGGGTCCTCCTCCTCTGGTCATGCAGGACCTCCTCCTCTGGTCATGAAAGTGCACCTCTTCTGATTATGTGGGTCCTTCTCTGGCTGTGTGGATCTACTTTCCCTACCCACACTAGTGGCCACACTAGGGGATCTACTTCCCTTGGCTACAGTTCTCTTTTGGCTATGTGGGTCTGCATCCTCTGGTCATCCAAGTCCATCTCATTTGGGTCCTCTGCCTCTGACCACACAGGACCCTTCTCCTCTGATCATGCAGGTCCATGTGCTCTTGTCACCTGGGTCCTCCTCCAGCCAAACAGTTCCCTCTCTGTTCATGCAAGTCCACCTC